CATGACTTAGATAATAATTAAACATTGTTTTTGTGTCATCCAAATGAATACTTCCGAAAGGTCTCAATAAATTTGTTGACAACCTAAAAGCTTCATCGCCTACAAGAACGTAGGGCATGTTTTTTGCGTTTTTTCATGAAGAGGTCTTGCCTTTGATATATTCCACTATCGTCATTTAACTTTTGCCAAGACATACTCTCTTTGAATATAGAGAAATTGCATTCTTTTCCATACGACCCAACGCTAACAAAAATAAAACGGTATAAATAATAATCTTTGTAGTTAAAATACATCGCGCCATTATGAGCTGGTTTCACCACTCTTATGTGTTTTCCTCAGTTAGGATTCAGTTAGGAAGCGTTCAACATCTGTATCAGACTCCAATACAAATATGGAGGCAGAAGGCAGTTCTCAAATGATTCCAAAATCATCACCAAGTATTTCAAAAAAGCAAAGAACCACGGACTTGGACGAAAAAATAAGTCTGTTATTGGAAAACAGACTAACAGTGCAAGCCGACCATCCAATGCTTTGTTTTATTAAAGGGGTTCTACCGACCGTATCTAATGTCATTTCACGATACGTTAGAGTTTCAATCTGGTGTATTATCATTGATTTAAAAAACTAAAAAGAAACGTGAAAATCAAGTGTACACACCAAATTATGCATTGCGCACAGAATCAACACAAAACCAGAATATGCAACTCCCATGTGAATCTGGATATTCGGCATACCACACTGTCGAACCAGCATCGTTTGCTTCTTCTACCTGGTCAACGTCTCAACATAGTTCAGACATTTTGGTGGTAATTTTTGATATCTTTCGATTTGTTATTTTCGTTAAATAAATAAAATATCAAATCATTACTTCTTCTCTAATAACATTTGACTTGTGTTATTTTCGTTAAATAAATAAAATCATAAATAACTGTATAACTTTTCTTACCTTAAAAATATAGACAGCCTTTCTTCTTGAAAAGTACCATCCCCAACCTTGTATTTTGATACAATGTTTACTGAAACTGTTGCCTATAGATCGTTGAATGCAGTTATGGATATTCTAAAATAATTAAAGAACTTCTGTTCGTCACTTCTCAATTTCGTCAGGTCTGAAAACTTCTTAAAGAAAATCTTTCCTTCAGGATTGGGTGCATCCAAAGATTTTTTCTATTTTCTGATTTTCTATGTTTACGTCTTAAATAGTATAACACAATATCTGTAATATATGTAAAATATCTGTATGTGTTTGAAAAGTAGTGTCGTCATAAGAGTCAGGCTTATCTTCTTGGTGCACTATTACCCTTACGGTTTCTTCATCATTGTCGTTTTGTTGAATTTGTTGTTCGTTTTCTTCTGCGAAATCTGGACATTTTAATTTTAAAGATAAAATAAACTTGTGTCTTCTGTGCATCCTTCCCAAAAATCTCCACTTATCTGAAAACTCCTCAGCTTCTCTGGTCGCATCTCCTTCTCCATATATTGTATAAGATCAAAGGCATTGTTTTGTACTGGACTATTTTCGATAGAGATAATATTGATGTCTTCTTGAAAATATTTTTTAAAATTAATGTGCTTGTCGTCAAAAGGATACAATCCACATGTCCTGAAAGTATTTAAAAAAGGGTTATTTCTTTATTATTAACACTGTCAAGGGCATCTTTTAAAACAGGAGCGAAATGTTCTTGGCTTAACTTTTCACCCAAATTTTGTGGACTGCCTGTTTCCATTTCAATTTCAATGGACGAAAAAAACCAACATCTAACGGCTGTAAAATATGTGTTGCATTTGGGTGCAAGCATACCAAAATAATTTGATTCTTACTACAAAATTGGTTCAGGGCTAGTGTAAGATGTGATATAATATATGCCCATCTGCAATTCTCTAGTCTATGCCCATTAAAAAAAAATATTTGCAATATACTCAAAAAAAGATGGCCCTGTCATCCAACCACTATCCGTTCTGCATATTCCCCAATCTTCGGGCACTTTATCAACAATCTTTTTTGGCAATCGTATATAGGCATAGACTACCAAAGGAGGCGCAATATCTCCTGCAGCATTGCATGTAACCAATGCTTTAAGACATTTTTTTCGTTCTCCTTTTTTTGCAAGAATTTTGATCTCTTTCGGGTTCAAAAAAAACTGTCTTAGGATCATTTAATATATGCAGTAAATTGTTAGTGACCAAATAAGATTTAACTTCTGCAAACCAACGCTTTAACGAGGATTCTGTGACACGAGCTCTGGATGCAGTAAGATTTTCAGATAATCGAATAGATACTTCAGGATGTTGCGATAAAAATCCCTTAAACCAAGTGTTTCTTGGCCGTCCTTGAAATTATAAATATTATCGTGTTTTAATTTTTTTTTCAGAAGTTGAACACTATCCAATGGATTTGAAACAACCATTCAACCAGCAGTTTTTCTTCATCAGAATTTAAAAATGCTGGTGGGCCCATTTTGCTCTGCATTGGTGTTTTTCCTTTTTCTTTATAAATAAGAGTTGATTTTGGAACATTAAACATCAAACTTATGAAAAAGTAGCCAACTTTTTCATAAGATAAACTCCTACTTCTTGCATCGAAAGGTTTTTGAAGATCTTCTTCACTATATTTAAACTTAGGCTTTGTTGTCATATTGGTACTGATTATAAGAAAAAGTTAACCTGATTCATATTTGCTAAATTTTCCATTTTTTGATAATTGACCACTATAAGAGTCAGTGTTTGACCAACCTTTTATCCTTTTAATTTTACAGACTCATTACTACTTAAGTGCGTTCAAGTACTTTTATTGTTATAAAAAAGGTTTAAAAAATAGAAAGAATCAAACATTTACACTTATATTTATATTAGGCTTAAATATTTATAAAATTTAAAATCGGTTAAAAAACTCAGTTCTGAGTGTTTGTGTCCTATAAATGACCAAAAGAAGAACCAGTAATTGACCGCATATTTAAACTGATTTTATCTTTCTTTTAAAGTATAAAAGTTTTAGTCAAACATTAAGCAACTTAAACGGGAAGACATAAGTTTTAAAAGTTTTAAAAACAGGTATTACACATTTTTCCATTGTATTAATCAAACATAAATCCTTGTGAGATTACAAAATAATCAATTCGTCTAGTATTTGACCGTTTGGTCAAACACTAATTTTTAATTAAATTTAGAACTACCAGTCATTGAACGGCTTTATTTTAACAAATAATTAATGAAAGCGGTAATTTTTTAATATAACCAATAGAAAACATTATTAGATCACTGGCAAACAAAAAAAATCATAAATGCAAAAACGGCTGAATAGTACTACCTTGGAGAGGAGACTGGTGGCTATTTATGGATTTATTTATATTTTTTGAGATATTCCTTGGAACCTTATTTTTTACATTTTTTTACAAAAACGGTCAAACACTGACAGACGGTCAATTACTGGCGTTTTACCCTAATCATAGTTCTAGCTGAGAGAACAAAAAAAGAGAAGTATTGAAGTCATCGTTTATTGATGTCTATAATAATAAATTATATCAGTCGATCCTTTTCAAATCATTCAAGAAAAATTCATTGCTAAAATATTTGAAGTCTGTATAGGTAAGAGACCTGGTTATATGAAACATCAGAACTAAAAGTGACAGAAATCAATCTGTGGTCAGCAATATCATAGATATGACGAACACCATAGTCCTCAACACGAGAATCAGTGTCAACTAGAATAAAGTCTATTAATGTTGTCGAGAAAGTCGGTACACGTCTAGGTGAGTTTATTTGTTTTAAATTAAATACCTCAATTTCAGAAATAAATTTATTAGCATAAATAGCACTTAAATCAAAGGCATTAATTGAAATCACCAAAGCACGGTAATTTTTTTGGACTACAATTTTCCAAAAAATTTGTGATGTATGTGATTTACTAATTGAATCAAAGATATAATAATAATACTTTATTGAGCCAACATATAAACACAGAAAAACAACGAAATATCAATTAGTTAACAAATATATAATTTAAGCTCAATGGGTGCAAAAGCAGAAAAGGCAAATTTGCGGAATCTTACAAATTTAGATACAACTCCCTGTTGTAACTCCACTTTGTATTGTTAGCTGACAAAAAATCAGCAGATGGGCAGAGAAGCCAAGATCAGTTGTACTATTATTAACAACAGGGTACCAGATAAAAAGATTTAATCTAGAAGGGATTACCTCACGCAAGTTAAACATCTCAAATGTACTTCTAAGAGATACCTAAGATGGACTCTGAATCAAGAAATTAATGTTAAAGTCACCGACCACAACCATCTCATCAATTAAAGGAAGTACCAATGAAAGAAACCCCAGCATTTCAATAAATAACTTTAAATCATAAATAGGAGATCTGAAAAAATCTAAAAAATACCAAAAGTTATGTGAATTCTTTGTAGAACTGATTTAATCTAGTGCTGTTCAATTTCCAGCGAAAACTAAACATCAATTATACTACAGGAATAACAATCTCTTACAAAAACGCTACTCCACCACCCCTACATTATCCATCCACATATTTTATTACTTAGCAGGGGCGTTTACCACATCAACAAAAAAAATTCATAAACATTATTTTGGTTCAATCGCTGTATCAAGTTGCTTAGAAATCGATTGGGGGTAGTTGTGACACTTCCCTTGTTAGTTGACCTTCGAAAGAAATCGAAACGAAATATAGATATTATTTATATCTATTTCGAAAAAGCAAATATATAAATTTCTTAATTTTATTCCCAAAATAAAACTTTTCCAATTAAATCCAATCGGTTAAAAGAAAACGACAATTCCAAAAATAGAATCGTAAAAGTAAAAATATCCACAAATGTAATTGTAATAGGATTTCGTCGCTAAAAATACCTATAAATTTTCCTTTTCGTTTCAGACGGTTTGATCAATGAATTTCATGTGGTCGTCGGGTAGTTCATAAAGGAAGGGAAAACGATCGGTTATTTCTCCATAGCGATGTCGGAAAAATAATTCTTTTTCTGAGTGACATTTGAAGTTGAAGTTTGAAGTAGTCGTAGAAAATCCTGTGGAAATCAGTCGCGTTTCGGAACAATGATTAACTAAGACCAAAAAAATAAATCAAAAACAAATTAAAATAAATAAATCAAGATCGACTTCGAATTTTTTCTACTCAAGATCATGGATGAATTTAGATGATAATGGCTTCGTTAACTTCAACTGCTTTGCCACCGTTTTCGATGGAAGAAGAAATTACACCAGGAAAAGGTAAATATTAAAATAAGCAGAAAGAAAATAATTTAAAATAAATAAATTAATTTTTTTTTTTAATTGTAGAAGGTGTTAAAAATTTACAACAATTATTGTTTCCATTAACTCCGAGAAAAGCCAGTTCCGACAGCTACTTATGTAATTTTTTATTAAAATCTGCGAACGCAATCGAATTTGAAGAGGATCGTTTATCGCAAGTCGTCCGATTTAAAGATTCGAAGGAATCCATCGGTAGAGATTTAGATTGTCCTTTGCAACCGCCTCGTTGGCCAACAGAATGTCAAGTAATACTATTAATTTTTTTCTTTTATTGATTAAACAAATACTTTAATTTGATTTTATTTCTTTAGGTAATAGAAGAGAAAATCACCCATATTCCTTATGTTCCATCATTTCCCGAAGCATTTTATAGTCCAACCGGAAAAGAAGTTCAACCAAAACCCATCGGAGAAGAATGTGGAATCATCATTTATCAATATTATCCTATAAACGCTGTTAATTACGTACGTAATTATCTAATACAGTAAAACCTCGATATAACGAACGAACAACATTATCTATTATACATCAGTTACGTGAGACACCTGTATATTAAATTTTTAAAATCTAGACACTAAAGTGACTAATATTCTGATGGCCCATTGATTTTCAGAAGACACTATTAAATTATACTACCGCACAGTACTCTGCTTTTTCAATATTTAGCACTGTTACTCACTAGGCAAGATCAAATTGCTTAGTCCTTTTTAATCTTCGTTGGACGTTTTCAACTCTAGATTTATGTTTTTGAGCAAACCGCTTTATTTCGCTATATACATCCGTGCTCTCAAGATCCTTCAGGATATCTTTGTTCCTAACATACCATGACGCATTCACGATGTTTCTCAAGATTTTATTTTGGACACTTTGTATGGCTTCCCCATAGTTGTATCCCGTACAGCCATACAGGTTTGAGGATATGCTTGTATATTAGTATTTTATTGTCTATTGATGACTGGTCTTCCAATTAACCAGCTTTATTGCCTGTTTCTTGTTCGTAGTTCTTCCAGTTTTTTCTGTATATGTACCCCCCAGGTGAGCTTTTTATCTAGATTATCTAGCTGTATCGTCAGCGAATGTTGCTATTATACACCATTGTCCTCTGGCAAATCGTTTGTGTATACTAGGTACAAAATTGGCCCACGTACACTACCTTGTGGAACACCACATTTTATCTCTTTTAAAGCAGTAAATTCGTTTTCATATTTAACTCGTAATAACCGGTCTGTAATATAAGATTATACATCCACATACTGTTTTGGCAATAATTTACTAATTTTATATATTAAGCCTTTATGCCATACTTTATCCAATGCTTGGGCTACATCAATAAATATAACAGAGAAAATTTTTTTTCCTTCGAGAGTTTTCTATCAGATCAGATATTCTGTGTACTTGATCAATTATACTATGTTTTTCTCTAAATCCAAATTGATACTCAGGAATAACTTGGTTTTGATTTATTAATGGTTTAAACTAGTGATGAAACGGATAGTTATATTGCGAAAAGTCGGATGCCAGATATTCGGCATCCTCTTCGGCAGGATATCCGGTTATCCGGCATATCTATCCGCCATTATGGTTGTAATTTCTGGTGCATTTCTGAAGTGATTGCCACATTATTGCGATATTTGAATAAAAATGAAATTAATAAGAAAGCTGTTAAGATATGCTGATTTAACTAATGAAGCAACTCTAAAAAGAGCGTACTTTAACTAATAATTGGCGATATTTCCACAAGGATCATTCAAGAAATGAATTTTATAGCGAATTTTGAAAATTATCGATGAAAATTGCAACATCGAAAATTTTATCAAAACTTCAAATATTGTTTTCTCAAAAACTAAAAGTTATTTTTCAAAACGGGTTGGTTCATTGGAAAGAGGACACTTTTATTAACACTTTGGGAAATTTTCATACTCATATTCCAAGAAATGGATTTTATACGAATTTTTAAAACTTAATCGGCGAAAATTGCAAAATTCGAAAAAATTTTCGATCATTTCAAAAATTTATTTCTCAAAAACTAAAAGCGATTTTTCAAAACGGCGTGTTGCATTAAAAAGAGGATACTTTCATTAATAATCGAAAGTGATAACAGCGACAGTTCTACTAGTAATGAATGTGATGAGCGAAGAGAAGAAAACTTGTGTAACAATCAACTCATTGATTGTTACAATGAGGTTGCTAATGATAAATAAAGTTGTATTTAATGAAAAAACTCCTAATGAGCTTGAACTTGATTATTATCTACAGTGTCCAACACCTAAAAACATACTAATTTACCATACCATACCATACCAGTTTTTCAAAGAGTTTTGAGATTACTGGAAGCGACGAGATTGGTCTGTATGAAGCCACAACATATGGTGATTTTTTTGGTTTAGATATCATAATTACCTCTACAATCTTCCACATATTAGGTTCCACGTAAACGAAACGTTGCATTTATTAAATACGTTAGTTTTAAGATTGCTTTTCTAGAAAGGTTTTTTAGTTTAAGTCAAAACCTGGTATTTTCTTTGCACTTATGTTCTTCCTAATTTCTTTAACAACTTCATTTGGCGTTGCATGTTTTATACGTTGATTAGTATTAACATATTCTTTGATCTCTTCACAATCGGAGCTTATATCATTTGGCTGGAAAGTTATTTCTATATGGTTTGCAAATAATTCTGCTTTTTGTTTATTAGTTCTTACCCACGTTCCATTATCAGTTCTGAGAGGTGGACTTTGAGTAATAGATCGTTTGGGCTTTCTTGTTGCTCTCCATAATGAATAATCACTTTCCTTAACGGCGGTTAACTCAGTAAGGTATTTCTTGACCGATTCTTCCTTTATCTTCGTTATTTCTCATTTTAATTGTTGTGTTAGATTATTGAATCTACTTTTATCGAATGGATGTCTGTTCTCATGCCATGTTCGTCTAGCTCTTCTTTTTTCTACAACTAGTTTTCTAATTTCTTGGGGGTAATTGTTACCAGCAGTTTTACGTTTCAATTCTTTTGTGTTATTCCATGCTGCATGCTGAATATCTCGTACAAAGTTTTCCACTTCATCTTCCAGTTGTTCTTTAGTGTTCAGTTGAATGCTCAACCGCATTTTTCCTTCAAGTTCCAATCCAAAGCTTCCCCAATCCGTTGTATCATTCGTCAGGGTTGATTTTCTTTCCTTTTCAATAATCTTTTCACTTAAAGTCAGTACCAATGCTGGATCATACAGCAGATCATACAGAAGTTAGGTCGTAGTTATTAGTCTTTGATATAAAGAAGTCCAATAAATCAGGTCTCTTATCCGCATCAGTAGTTCTTTCCTTTTTGTAGTTGTGACTTCTGATCCCCATTCTGTGTTTTTTGCATTAAAATCGCCACCCAAGAGAAATTTGTTTCCAAAATGGTGTAAGTAGCTTTTATAATCTTCTTTCTTGTTGTTGCGCCTTGGCAGAAAATATGCTGCTGCAACTGTCATATTTTGATTATTGATTTTCACACCAACTACACACATCTATATTTCCTTCTTTTGCAGAAGGACTTCTTCGTGGTGTTCGATATTTTCCCTTATAATTATTGCGCTTCCACCTCTTGCTTGATTGCTGGGGTGGTTGACGTGGTATGTTTTGCAAAATCTTATATTAATAGTTTGTTGTTTTGTTAGATGTGTTTCTGTAATGAGTAAAATGTCAATCATCTGTAATGATAAGAAAGCTGCAATTGTTTCTTCATGCGTTAGAACACCATTAGCATTCCAGGTGGTTAGCAGTGTGATGTGCTATAAGTACAGTTCTGTTTTGATCTTGCTTATCTGATGTTGTTTGGGCATATGATATTTCTTTACTTACAATATTGGAAGTGAATTGACTAGGTTCTTGTGTATTTTGCTTAACAAGAATATTTTTTCTTTTTTGCAGTTCTTTAGCAACAACGCTAGTGTTAGTTTCAGGTTTAATTGTTATTCAGCATTTGTTTGTTGTATAGTTTTCATTGAACTAAAAGTAGAAGTAACGCTAGAACTAGAAAGTTTCGGGTTTAGCCGTTTTAAAAGACGCACAGCTAAACCCGAATGTTTCTAGTTCTCGATCTAGGGTTAGCCTTAATGCTAGTGTTAGTTCTAGTTTTAGTTGTTATTTAGGATTAGATTGTTGTATATTTTTGTTGAATGGACTAAAACTAGAACTAACACTAGACCTAAAACTAGAAACATTCAGGTTTAGCCGTCTTAAGAGACGCACGGCTAAACCCGAATGTTTCTAGTTCTAGATCTAGTGTTAGTTCTAGTGCTAGTGTTAGCTCTAGTTTTAGTTGTTAAGCATTTACTAATTCTAATTCAAAGTGTGAAATAGTAGTTGCCTACCCATGCGTGACGTCACGAACGGACCTTCGAGCTGTTCACCTGTGGATAACTGTTCGAATTTATGTGCATTCAAATTATTCATTCAAACAGTTAAAGTGCAAATTAAAAATTTTTCTTTTTGGTGGTAACGAACACTCCCTTCCTCATATAACTCCGTTATATCAAAGTTTTACTGTATTGTTATTGCGATTTTTTAATATAACAATTTTAGTTTAATAGATCAAGCATTGGAGGTAGTAGATATCTTTTATCAACTTGTCCATCACCGGAAGAGGATTGTTTACGTTTCGAATCGCGTTTTGAATCGGGAAATTTGGCGAAAGCGATAAAAATCACGAACACGTATTACGAATTGTACTTAAGAAACGATATGTACACTAGCAAACACACGCAATGGTTTTACTTTAGGATAACGCGTACCAGAAAAAACGTACTTTATCGTTTTTCAATCGTTAATTTGAGTAAAGATGGTAGTCTTTACAACGAAGGAATGAAATTGTTGATGTACTCAGAAAAAGATGCTCAATTACATTCGATCGGGTGGAGAAGATGTGGTGATAACATTACTTATTTTTGTAATGAGTCGATGTAAGTTACAAAAAATCCTATTTAAGAATTTAATAAAAATAAATTTTTAGAACTCCCGATGATCCAAATCAACAACAATTATACACATTAACATTTACTTTAGAGTTTCCCCACGACGATGATGCCATTTATTTAGCTCATAGTTACCCATACACTTATTCTGATCTTCAAAATTACCTTCAGGAGCTAACTACACATCCTATCAAAAGTACTTTTAGTAATTTAAGGCTGTTATGTAAGACTTTAGCTGGAAATAATGTTTATTACATAACGATTACGTCGCCTCAAGTAACCGGAGATGTAAATATAAATCTCTTAAATCTTAATTCTAAGCTAAATTTGTATCAAATTTTAGCAGAAAAAATCTGCAATTGTGATAACTGCCAGAGTTCATCCTGGTGAAACCCCATCTTCGTGGATGATGAAAGGGTTTTTAGACTTTCTAACAGGCGATTCAGGTCCTGCTAAAGAATTACGCGATAAATTCATTTTTAAATTAGTGCCAATGTTAAATCCGGATGGGGTTATTGTGGGTAATAATCGATGTTCTTTATCCGGAAGGGATTTAAACAGACAATATAGAACTGTAATAAGGGAAGCTTATCCGTCAATTTGGTACACAAAGCTCATGATAAGAAGGTAAATAATAAAATCAAATAAATAAAATAATAATAATTTTTTTTCAGACTTCTTGAAGAATGCGGTGTTGCTATGTATTGTGATCTTCACGCCCATTCCCGAAGACACAATATCTTCATTTACGGTTGTGAGAATCGTAGGGGGGCTGAAAAACGTTTACACGAACAAATTTTTCCATTGATGTTACATAAAAACGCTGCAGATAAAGTTATTGTTTAATTTTGTTTTTATTTAATTTTGTAAATAATTTTTACTTTTAGTTTTCGTTCGAAAGTTGCCGATTTCGCGTTCAAAAATGTAAAGAAGGAACTGGACGTGTTGTTATGTGGATGATGGGAATACCTAATAGTTTCACTATGGAAGCTTCATTTGGTGGTTCAACACTTTCAACGAAATCAGAGATTCATTTTCATACCTCCGATTATGAACAAATGGGGAAATCTTTTTGCCAAACTTTATTGGATTTCTACGATGATGATCCTAGAAAGGTATACAGATATACAAGAATTTTGGTGAAAATCAAAAATTGTGTATCAAATAACTTGGTTTTTCTTTACGTCGTCACCCTCTTCATCACTTTTAACATAATCTTTTACTATGTTTTTGAAATTTTCATAAAAACATAAATCTTTTTTTGAACATAAAATTTATTAGTTTCTCTTTGTCGATTTTGTTTTTATTTTTTTAAATTTCAGGAAATTTTAAGATTAAAAATCATCAATAGATTAGTAAAAGAAGGTTCAAATGCTGATGAACCAACAAATATTCAATTATCAGATTATTCTAGGTGAGTTTCACATTTCTTTTTTGTCTAAAATATTAAATAATTGAATTTGTTTGAAGTGATTCCGGTGTAACAACGAGTGGTACAGATGAAGAGGGTGGCGATAACGATATCGAAGAAATCCCTTTTATTGTGCCACCACCATCGCCAGCTATTGCAAAAAAACCTTCTAAAAGCAAAATTGTTCCTCAAAAATCTAAAAACCAAATTGTATTTAAATCACCTCCGCCAAAACCAAGAAAAACACTGCCGGTAAAATTTTTTTTTCTATTATTAATGTTGCTTATTATTAGTTCAAGTAAGTTGAGTTCAATAATTGTTTTTTGCTACAATTTATTATCCACATTTACCAATATACAGAGTGCTCAAAAAGTTCTCGTACTTTTTTTAAATATTTCAACTACCACACAATTCAATAAAACAACACATTCAAAAAATAAACAACTTTACTATAATAACAATAAATTTAATCCAAAAAAATTACAAATTTTCTAAATTGCCTCAATACATTCTTTTACTTGTTATCGAAAATATCCGACGATATTTGCACACATGTTTACCGTAATCTCATCTCGGGCGCGTACCAGAGTCGTTTTAAGTCCTTCTACGTGGCATATTATGTTCCTGAGCTTTTTGGCTCTAATTGTAAGATAGACCCAACAGGCGTAATCTATTGGGAGCTGAAAAACAGCTTTTCGCAAATGACAATTGTCGAATTGGACGAATATGACACCAGCCTCCAGAAAGTCTTGTAAAACTCGCTGCTGATTGCTAACGACGTTGATCATGACGGTCAATGAAAACCAACGGCGTTTTCCTGGTGGCGCAGATGCCGACCTGGCTTCCGCTGACCCTTCTTGATGCTTCTTAAGCAGTTATCGTTGGTTCTGAAGGTTGTGGAGAGTGAAAATCTTCTCATAAGTGAAGACAACTTTTGACAAACGAGCACCAGCGATCAGGCGAATCATTCGGAACGAATTTCCCGATCTTTTCACCATCATCGTGAAAAGATGATCTGCACTATCGTTGAGACAGTGCAGATTCCTAAACTTTCTACATTTTGGTTGCGTTCATACAATTTCTAACACTTCTCCGCAATTGTTCTGTAATCATGGCCGGAAAATGGTGGATTGAAGAAGAAAGTGAAATTGTTAGTTAAGATGATGAGGATGTTACTATCATTTTACATAACACCAGTGAAATAGATTTTGCTGAAGAATACAACCTCGAAAATTCATCTGACTCGAAACTTCTTCTCGATGTCAATGATTCGTGATTCGATTATGCATTTACTTCATTTTAGTTATTCTTTGGAAGAAATCAGCAAATTAGAAATCGTGAATATTAGAAATTTGTTCAGGAAAGAAATTGACTTCAAGAAAAGTCGGGCATTAGGTGATCTTCAAAGAAAGTTTTAATTTCTACAATTTGGATTTTAGACTGCAAGAGAATGGATGATTATACAACACTAATTATATTTCCAAATACAAGAAGAATCACTGCGCACCAATTACAAGTTGAAGGTTGTATGAAAAAATTTGGAATTATTGTCTAAATTTTAGACTTTCTTATATTACTCAGACTCGAGACATCAAATGCAAAACGATATGAAAATTCAAAAACCAACAAGAAAAATTAGTTACCACACACAAATCGTAAATCCAAAGCCTTAGAATGATATTTCAGAATGATTTTAGAATCTGAAACGAAGTTTGCGTGCCCAGTGCAACAAAACATTCAAGAAACAATCTGGAATTACATTAGTGCGCTGCTTTTGCCAAGCTTTAGAAAGGTATAGGTTGTCTCCACAGAAGGATAACGTAATAATTTCTTATGTAATTGATACGCTTTCATTCAATCACTCCAATCTTCAACCTTCCCAGAAAGAACAATTTTCATAACCTTCATATGAGTTTATAGGACGATAAGACGAATAAGGACAACGCCATTAACATTAATTAAATAAATATTTCCCAATTTTTCCATTGCTGAATCACGAAGAAAAAATAAAGATTTTGACAAATTATTACCGTTTAGAACTTTCTTATTTCAAGATGCATACGTACCCCATGAAAATAAAACTGTCGTCGTACAGTTACTCACATTCCGTGGAAGATGCCCATCAAACAGTATATTCTTTCTAAATCTCCTGGTATGGGATAAAGTTTATGCTTATAATTAGCAAATATACATCGGAAAAATTTGAGACCAGCTTGAACGCAACCAAGAGCAATGTATTATCTTGGATATGATAAAATAGTTGGAAGGATCTGGGAGAAATATGACAACTGATAAGCTTTTATACAAGTGTTGACCTAGCTAAAAAAATGAAAGAAATAAATCGTACACTGCTTGATACAATTCGAAAAAATAAATTGGGAATTTCTGGAAAATTGGTCATCACGCGAGATTCAACAAAATTTTGTTACCAAGATAAAGCCATGTTACAAATAATTCTTAACTAAAATGGAACTAAGTCATATGATAATCAAGAAGATGACATTTTTTTATAATATGGTAGACATTAGTACACTGAATGCTTATGTTATATGTATAGATTCATCTAAATAAAGACTGTTTTTGAATTGTTTACGAAGAATTTTTCAGTCATCTAAGAAAAGAATTGTTTGTTACTGGAAAACACCGACAAGACGCTCCGATGTCGCTTGAACGCTCTCAAAAACAAAACAAAACCTTGAAACGAGGTAAATGCCCCAACAGGTATGACAAAAAGTTTTCAATGATATGTAAAAGTTGTGATCGATTAATTATTATAAAATATGCTATATATTTTATATATAGCATATTATTTATTTATTTATATTTTCTTCTTTATCATTTTCCCATCATAACGTTGGGGTGTTCCAGTGTTCCGTTTTCCAATAATTCCTATGTTCATTATTTTTCTGGGAATTCTCTCTTCTGATATTTTAATTAGGTGTCCTTACCAGCTCAACTATTTTTGTATTTGCCCCGCTAACATTATTTGCTGTAAATCATCTCTTGTGGTTTTATTTTTAAATTAATCCTGTGTAGTTTTCTCCATAGTATTTGCCTGCTTTTTGTATTTCGTTGTGTATTATCTCTGTGAATTGTTCCATTGTTAGCAATAATGGTGCCCAATTATTGAAATTTATCTATCTTCTTTCGTTATGTGCATAACCTTTTTCCTGCATTTATTTGCATTTCCTTTTCTTCTAAGCAATCATTCTAGCTGCTAATTTTTCTTTGTAGTTCTATTTTCATACCTGGTATCAGTATTATATCGTCTGCATAGAGTAGGTCGAAGGTCTTTATCGGTGTCGGTCTGTAATAACCTATTATGAATTAATCGGTGTCTTGTTATTGTTTTAAATTTTTTAATTATTTGATCCACAAATATTACAAATGGTAGTGGGCTCAGGTTATCTTCTTGTTTCATACCTTTCTTTGTATTAACATGATATAAGGCTGTGACCAGAACGCTAATTCATAAACTGACAAACAGCCGTCGTCTTCGAGAAAAATATCTTGAGCAGGTTTGTAGGCCCAATATATGACAATAATATATGGAAATATGCAAGAACTATACAGTTACTATAAGGAGTCAATACTATAATACTATAAGAGTACCTCAAAATCCACAGATTGTAATGGGTAGGACATATGGTCAAGATGAAATAGGGAAGGTTATCGAAGCAATTGCTTAACAGGAGAATACATGGTGCGCACCTAGGAGAAGGTTAAGAGTAAGATGGGAGATCGAGACGGATGTTGATGCCAGGGATATGCTTGGTCCGGAAAGGTTGAAAAAGAGGCTATGAGGCAAAAATTGTGGATGGGCCAGGAATCGATAACGATCATAGAGCCATTGAGGAAGAAAAAGAATCTATGCTCGTTTCTTCTACTGTATGTTTTCCTTCACTGTGTCGTTCCCCCCTCCCCTGTTTGTTCGTTTTTGATTATAATTAACGGTTTTTATGTCATCTACCTCTCCACTGTTTTAGTCATAGTTTTTTTAATTTTTGGCCAATGATATGTATGTTCCAATCTTAGCTATCTATTAAATTCTGTTGGTACTTTTCTTCTTTTTCGGTCTTCTCTAACTGTTCCGTCTTAAATCGTCTGTGTTTTATGGAGATATTTTTGATGAATTAGTTATTAGTAATCTATATTAAACTTACTAAAGTCAAATACGACGTGTTATGAAATTTGGATTCTACATAAAATACGGATTAAACCGATTAAACAAAGTTTTTATCGATTTCCGATAATTGAAGCTCATACATCTCCTAGGTATGCTCTCGATGGGGCAATTTATCGTAGTTTAGAGTTTGCTTTTATATGCTGCTTCGCGTTATGGCAAATTTTTGGTGGACATCTTCAGCTGTGATACTGCTGGTGTGATTGTTAAGTATATCCCACATGCTTCAATGGGACTGACAGATGGGCGTGATGTTCATATTGTGTATTCTCGGGAATATCTCTATTTTTATGTCATCATCCAGGATTCCCTGAATGCAACGAAGAGTTATTCTTATATAACTTTATACCTCGTTAGAGTAAAGATATTTGCGTGTTATTTTCAGTTTTTCTCGTCGATTCTTTATGGACACAAGTGCATTATACCTTATATACGTTTAAGGTCTTTTGGTATTCACTACTTTATGATAACTCCAGAGATAACTTTTCACTTATCCCAATTGGTAACTTCTTCTTCTTGATAAATTTTCAATGTGCTGAATGTAACTAGATTGCCAAGTCTACCTATAATATGTTAAAAGAACCGTATCTCAAACATTAATTGAGATATCGTTGTGAAATAAAAAGCAGTTTAAAGCGAATTTATTTAGTATTTAATATATTGCAGACCATTTCTCCAAAACCTCAAATTTTGGAGTTACAATTTTTTGATTGCAACCTTGCATAACTAATGTTTTCTTGAAGTTGATGATTTGATTGTTGTTGTCACAATTTCGCCCATCTCACTTCAGCGATTTACTGTTGCACTTCATCTTTTCTGCGACTGACCTGCCAAAATGGATTTGCTAAGCTGTAGTCAAAACTCAAATCACAGAGATCGCGACATCCTACCACTTGTTCATCAATGATTATATTTACTCCTACTCTGCATATTTGGACACACAATTGTCATTAAACAATGAAAACATATCATGTATAACACTTAGTTTACCACTTTTCACCCTATCTATTCCTATGTTGGTGTCATCAAGGCATAGATTTCTTAGAAGAAACAAACCATTTACTGGACTTGGTATCTCTGAATACAGCAATACTAATGTCTCTGTTGCATAATCCACTTTTATTGAAAAAGATCTTCAAATCTCTTCATCGATGGTGGCATATTGACACTTTAATGGATCACACTATAAATAGATCACTTTTTTCTGCCATGCAGCCAAGTATAAGACTTTTTGTTCTGGAACTTTTAAGTACAATTGATTACAATTTGCTTCAGCAAAATCTAACACCATCCTAATTCTGTCAGATTAGAATAGATGAGGACCGAGTGCACATTTTCTAGCTTTATTAGTAATTATATTCTGAGCAAAGCTGAATTGATTTCTCGTTTTTCTAAGACTTTTAACTCAACCATCTAGGGTATCAATTGCCCTATAACCAGCAACAAATTTGATGGTATACTTAAAACATTTTCTTAAATTACAGATGTCAAAAGCCAATTTCGGAATATATTTTAATTCCCAAATGGAATATTTTTTCACTTCCGATGTGGATTCTTCAAGTGACACAGATACTGAAATGATAAAACCGCCAACAAAAACTGCAAAAAAAAAGAAGAAAAAGAAGAAACAAATTCGTTCTTTGCCGAAATCGAAACCACATCCGGTTGTAACTCTTCCAGTTGATTTTTCCGATACTGAAATAATTTTAAATAAAAAGAAACAAAGTATATCAACGCATGAACTGATTTCCGAAACAAGAATTAGGTCCCAATCTTGGCAAAGAGGAACAACCGGAAATCAAGGGCCAACCGTTAAAAATTTGTTGGAGAATAAACGAAGTACTGCACGTCAATTGGCTGAAGTTCAAGCTAAATTACTTTCGTTAAGAAATAAGTTGTGGTTTGGCGTTGGTGATAATGACTATTTGGATTCTACAACGCCTTTAATTTGGGACACTAATTCTATGTGTATTACAAATAATCCCCCGTTAAAAACAAAAAAGAAACATCAAAAGCATGATAAAGATAAAAAAAGTAAAGTATTAAAAAAAGAAGGAAAAGAAATGAATAAAGAAAAATTAGTTAAAAAAGAAAAATCGTAAGAAATGTCGCTTTATTTTACAAATTTTATTAAAATTATTATTAATTGTTTTAGTATTAAAAGACAAACAACAGTCGACTGGTCAACGCCATGTGGAAAAGTGATTAACGAAGAATTAAAAAAATTAAGCAAATTAAAAAATTTTGCTGCAACTGCAAAGCTTCAAACTCTTCAAACTTTCACATCAAAATTAAGCAACGAAGTATCGACTGTGAATAAGAAAATGTCATGTTCTTTGGAAAAGGATGATGTAAAAGCCAACAATAAGAAAAAGAACAATTCGAGGAAGAAGGGAAAAGAGGCGAAACTAGAAAAGACTGCCAAGACGGTGACCAATGCCAATTTGTTCATCAGAAAGGAACGATGAAAATTGTGTTCTTTTAAGACTATGCTTCTTGTTTTATTTTCTATTTTTTTTCCAAGTAAGGCGTCTTATTTATTAACGTATTAGCAAGTACTTTTGTACGTCTACTTTTTATTCTTACTCGAAATATAAAAAAAAGATTTTTTGTTTGTTTCTGAAGATTTCATTCTTCTTTCCTACTCTTTAAACAAATACCGCAAAAACAAATGTTATTTTGCTTCAATAATTATTAAATTAAAAGATCATTGAAAAAGAATTAATTTTTCACAAAAATTTCAAGTTCTTTTGTTAATAATAATAATTTTTTTCTTTCATTTCGTCTTTTCTTGTTGACACGTTTCACACACAGGTAGATACAGTTTACATTTCCTTTGTGTCGTTTACAAATATTATTGATGTCTCAGCCAATCAACTGCAGGAAAATAGTAGAAATATAAGGTATATTTCATTCATGCCGTGAAATAAGTTTTTGTACGGTGCAAACCTTTTAAACCTTCTTAAATGTAGTGGCATCCTGCATCCTGTTTTTACTACCTCTATCACTTAAATATAATTTTTAAATATTTGTCCTAGTTGTCCATTAAAATGGGAAGATAATGTTTTAAGCCAACACTAAGACTGACTGAACCGTTAACGTTCAGACCAATACACATCTACACATGCTTTAATCACAAATAGTGACGGACAAATATATTTACCATCCGCGAAGATAAACATTTATTGTTGATGATTTACACAAATATAAAATATTGACTTGAAAATTGGGTATTGACTATTTCGGTTAGATAAGCGGTGCGAGAAGCACAACGCCAACGCTAGCAATGGATGCCTACCTCCTTTGCATTTGCATATAGAGAAAGTGCTAAAACTACCATTTACAGATTTAAGCAATATGCTCAAAAATTGTTCCGACATGTCCTACCAATGCACTGCGGAAGACATTATAAGCACTGATACTGTGCTATCAATGCCGTCAGATTTGTCGGGATCACTATCAGTGATTAATGCTCGATACCAGATTGTCCTCTATCGAATACGAAAATTGTCTGATCCAGGCAGATATTTGCATGTGCACAAATAGATCAAAAATGCCGGAAGGGGTCGCGGCGGGAGTACACTGCCAGACACCTCAGATTAAGCAAGCTTACAGCCTGGGTACGTACTGTACTGTATTCCAGACGGTAGTATTTGCTATTGACATGGGTGCTAAAATCCTTCTTGAGAAAGGGGTGAAGAACATGACAGTACGATTTTTCTCTGTCAAGCCGCTCTCCAGGCTTTGCAGGCCGTGAAAACGGTATCGGTTCTTGTTAGTGACTGTAAAAGAACATTAAACACACTGAATTGTCATAACAGAGTTTATTTGATCTGGTTCCCAGGCCACTCTAAGGTTGCTGGCAATGAAGCGGCAGATGAGCTAGTACGAGAGGGCAGCGCCAAAGCGTTTGTGGGGCCAGAGCTAGCAGTTGATGTATCATTTGCGATGGTCAAACATAGGATTAGACTGTGGGCTGAAGAGAGACTTCGCCTAGTGTGAACCAGTTCTCCTGGAATGAGGCATGCTAAGGTGTTTATTAACATCGCTACTGTCAAACCCTGGAATATTTTAGGACTTACTCGTAGCAGCATTAAAGTTCTAATGGGTGTCTTTACTAGGCACTACCGATTAGAAACACACCTCAACTTGTTGAATCTAGCCTACTATGTTCGGAGGACGAGGAGACGGTTGAGCATGTTTTATGCTACTGACTGCCCGGCTGTTAATCGTATCAGATTCTCGATTTTTGGGTCGCAGTTTATCTCCCCAAAGTATCTGAATGACTTTTCACGAGAAAGGTATTAATATTCGTTAAGAGCATTGAATTGCACGGTGTAATCTGATAATGTCATTTACGGCGGTACAATAGATTCATAGGGCCGCGGTGCAAGGTTGGTAAAGTAATGTAATGTAATCTCGGTTAGATTAAACATTCTGTAGCCGCTTCGTTTATGGCTATGCATGCCGATATAGCTGATTATTTTTGTTGTTATCTATATTAATTTAAGCAACAGAAACTAGAAATTATGATTTTCGAATAAAAACCTGATCATTTATCCAGTTTGGGTGTAACAAATTCGTATAACCAGTAACAGCACGATGACGCGAAAGTTATAGAAAACTGGCAGCCAATACAACAGAAAGTAAGTAACTAGATCATGCCAGTTTAGCCTATGTTAATATTTATAATTAAGCCAAACCAGTTTTACCTAAGCTGAATTAGTTGATCTCAAAGACTGAAGAATTCATGTTTCGCCTGAAATTGACAAACTTTACTGGTAACATATAGATTTCGATGCTTCACTGTATTGCTACTTACTAGCGATCTGATATACCGGGTGTCCCTCAGAAGTGGCTCACCCCCATATTTTTTTTTATTATTAGTGATATAAGAAAATCATTTGGAGTGCATAATTAGGCCGTTAAAACGGATTATTACGACATGAAATGATACTCTTTGTAGTTCCGGTTATACCGGATGTGAGTACTAATTTCGCTATTTTTTTAAATCTATAAATTTTTTTTGCTTCAGTTGAGTAGACAGCATAATTTCACATAACTTTTACTTGAAAAAAATTTCAGGATCGCTTATAATTTTGGAAAAAAAAGTTATTTTCGTTGTTTTTCAACGTTTTAGTATCTTCGAAAAATGTATTACTACATTTGACGCATAGTAGCCAGGTTAATAGTATAAACTACGTTATGTTCCTCTTGATTTGTTATTGCTCGAGCAGTGATCACTGCCACGCTTTAGTCAACGGTTCTTTTTAATAATGGTGTAAATTAACAGTTGTATTAAATTAGTTTTAAAGGAAAAACGCGAACAAACAACTAAATTTAATTCAATTATTTTTGATCTTTTATTTTTTATTTTTTGTTCTTTTACACTAAATGTTCTGTAGCTGATAGTAAATTACAATGTACAATGTCCATTGTACATTATGGTTTGGATTGTTTACTTTATTTTGATTAAAATCTATCAAGGTGGCTATGGAAACAAAATTGCTAGCAATTTGACATAACGTAAATTAAGTAACGTAATTAAGTTCATTAGTTGACAATATTCGTTAATTTCAATTTAAATTATGGAAAAATTCACGCAAATCGAAAAAGTAGATATGATATTAATATTTGCAGAATGCAGAAAAAACGCAGTTGCTGCTGCTAGACTTTACGCGCAGAGATTTCCTGGTTGTCGCCACCCAACAAGGCATTACTTTCCAAAAATTGTGGCGAAAATGCAAACAGAGCCGGTCAATAATGGAAACCTTAGATACACTGTAAGTAGCGATACGGAACGAAATGTATTGGCATGTATCGAAAATAACAACAGTGCATCAGTTAGGGAGATTGCAATACAGTGCGAAATTTCAAAAACATCGGTGTGGAGGATTTTAAAAAAACAAACTTCGTTCTTACAAATACCAATTACATCAACATTTGTACGAGAATGATTATGAAAGACGACTCCAGTATTGTGAAAACGATAATGCATTTCCCTTCAAAATTCATACAGATGAGAGTCGATTTACTAACTTTGGTATATTTAATCGAAATAATAAAAGGTATTGGGCACAAGAAAATTTGTATTTGATGGAGGAAGGGAATTTCCAAGAAAGATTTGGTTTTAATTGTTGGATGGGAATCATTGGAGAAAGAGTGGTGGGGGTCCAATCTTTTTTGGTGGTCATCTTACAGGGGAAAGACACCTCAACTTCTTTAATAATGGAATTGAGGATTTGCTGGAAGACCTACCAGTTGGAACTTATAATGGACTAATTTTCCAACAAGACGGCGCCCCACCTCACAACAGCAGAGTGGTTACTGATTTTTTAAGCAGAAAGTACAATAACGATTGGATTGGTAATAATGGACCAATAAAGTGGCCACCACGGTGAAAACAAACCGGTTCTTTCTCTCATTTCTCCTTATTCCTATCTTTTTACCTTCCAGATCACCTGACCTCACACCTTTAGATTTCTTTTTGTGGGGCAAAATCAAAAATGAGGTGTATAATACACCTGTAAGGTCTCGTGAGGTATTAGAAAATCGTGTTAGAAACTGTATTACCCAAATATCTCCGCAGGAATTACGTCTAGTTGTTAGATCGACAATACGGAAGATACAATTATGTCAAAATCGAGGCGGAGGGCATTTTGAAAATTTAGAAAATTAGTTTTTTTGTCCTTATAATTGAATTAAATTTACTTGTTATTTCGAGTTTTTCTTTTAAAACTAATTTAATACAACTGTTAATTTACACCATTATTAAAAAAGAACCACTGACTAAAGCATAGCAGTGATGACTGCTCGAGAAATAGTAAATCACGAGGAACATAACGTAGTTTATACTATTAATCTAGTTACTATGCGTCAAATGCAATACATTTTCCGAAGGTACTACGTTAAAAAACAATGAAAATAATTTTTTTTTCAAAAATTATAACGATCGTGAATATTTTTTCATGTAAAAGTTATGTGAAATTATGCTGTCTGCCCAACTGAAGAAAAAAAAATTATAGATTTAAAAAAATTGCGAAATTAG